ACGTATTAAAGTGCAGAAGGTCTTCGACTAAGCTGATCCAACATCTGGATTGGCTGAGCCGGAGCTCTGGCAGCTCGCTCGCTGCCGTTTGCTCCTATTCACATAGGAGACGAACGGCAGTGAGTGAATAGCCGACTCTGTTATTCTACTCTGTACCTCCGAGGTACCAAGCAAAATAGAAAACGTTGAGCGGCACTCGGCTCGGCTATTCTGCTCTGTACCAAATTTATGTTCTGGGCTATTCATTTTAAGACAGTATTCTATTTCTTCATTAGAAATTAACATCTTTAACCATTATAATTTTTAAAACTGATGTTTTGTAACATTTTATTATTTATAAAATATATTGTTTTTAAATAAACATTTAATTCAGTATACACTCATGGTGCTAATTTACACTATTGTTTTATGTTAAAAAATCTGAGGGTTTAATGTCCCTTTAAGGGTTACGGGAGGACATATACTAGCGTCCTTCCGCAACCTAAAGCTCAGTATATCGCGAGCTATAGCTCGTGGTATACTGAGACCACCGCAGCCGGGACAGATTCCGACAATACTGTTGAGATCCACCCAGCTGGGTAAGTGACAGTGGGCTCTGCCTATCTAAAGGCAGAGCCAGCTGCAGCCGCCCCCTCCCCCGCCCATTCCTCCACTCAACGCTGGAGGATCGGAGAGGGGAGGGGGGGAATCCCTGCAGGGAGCCGTGACTGACAGTCGCAGCTCTCTGCAGGGAGATGATCAAGAAGTGAGCGAGCGACTGTATGTGTTTGCTCACTTACTGATCCATTGAGCCGACGTGTGACAGTTTCATTGTTACACGTCGGCTCGAACTACATAGTTCTCCTTTAAAGTTCAGCTGAAGCCAACACTTTTTTAATGTTTGGATAAAGCAAGAGGGGGTTACAACCCTTGTTAGCTTTACTGCCATCTCTGTCCCATTCCCTTAATTTCCTATGCAATATCCACAACAGGAAGTGAGAGGAAACCCCTCCAAAGCAAAGGAAATAGATAGTCCGCAGAGCCACCAGAACAATTGTACCCATTGGAAGATTTCCCATCTATTCCTGTTCTGAGGACAACTCAAAATGTGGGAATGTCCTTCACCTTTAGTGATAACGGTCACCAGGACAAAAAGAGAGGGTCAATCTCCCTAACGGGGACACAGACAGCAATAAGAATCTGGCAAGTGTTCTTATCCCTTCCTGATCCCATAAGACAATCAGATATTCCCTGATCAACAATCTCTGGTGTTTTTTACTTATAAAATATTAATATCTAGTTGTATTCTGCACATTTAGGAATGCATCCAGATTTTTTTTTTAAAGCAACTGATCTAGTTAGAACTAGTTCCTGTAGAAGCCTATTCCACATTTTCACAGCTCTTACTGTAGAGAAGCCTTTCTGTATGCAAAGATTAAACCTCTTTTCTTCCAGACGCAAAGAGGGCCACTTCCATTTTTAAGCTCTATTTTTAAATCCTCAAACTTATTTTCAATAATGAATCCAGGCCAAATGAACCTACATTACCCATCAAAGTATGTATTTACATTTTTGCCCAAGCACTTACAGTCATCATCTACCTAAACAAGTCCAACTCTCTCAGCTTTACTTCCCTGAACTTCCTGTCCAGTACAAGATCACAAGGGAGAGAGCATTCCTCATTAGCTGTCCATCTAGCATGGAAATCTGAGGAGTGGGGAGTAGGGTAGTGGCTTGCTTTGCTGTGTCTGTGTGTTTGTGGAGACACACACAGCTTACTAGCACACACAAGGGTGACTGCATAGGACCCTGCAAGGGAAAGGAGTCACCCTAAAACAGGATATCAGGGCCAGTGCCCGGGGGACCAGCTGATTCTGCAGGAAACTAAAACATTAAAACATCAAGAAACAGCATCCAGTGTAAGTGATTTCATCAGCATTTGAAATACAGTAGCTAAAACTTTTTTTAATTTAATATCACTTTAAATGAGTTTTGTCATGCTGTGGTTCACTGAGACCAAAATGTCGCACTGTTATCTGTAGTCAGCAATTTATTTGCCTTTTATATAACACAATTACAAATCCTTTAGAGTGTATGTATTTCAGATTTGCATTTAGCTGCTTGCCTGAAGTTCAGCTTGTAGGTTTCCTGTCTTAGGTTAACCAACAAGGTAAAGATTGAATAAACATATGAACACGTGTATTCTATGTTTTAGAACTATAGGAATCTGGTCAGCACATGTGTGTAAATGAAAAACAGACCTGTGGGGGGAGTGCAGGTGTTTCGGAGTCATTCCACATTCACAATATGTATACTTATAAATATTTATAGAACTTGAAGACAATAGACATAAACACAGACCAGACAGCGACTGTGGAAAACAAAATGATCTGCATTGTTGGAAACAGATCTTATATTTTCTAAAAACAGGAAGTCTGTTTAGAACATTTAAGGGCTGATGTAGACCTGGGCAATCGTGCGCATTTGCACACAGCGATTGCTGCGTGGCCCCATTGATTTCAATGGTGTTACATCCTCATGCGCATCTCAGAAAAAAAGGTACATGTACCTTTTTTTGCGACACATGACGCCTGTTTTGCTTGCGATCGTCTTCGGTTGCATGGACGGAATCGTAGTGGTAAACCGCGCGATTCGGCCCGGTTTGGCGGGGCTGCCATTAGAAAATAATGGCACCGCCAGCGCGATTAGTGATGGTGGGTGAGTCTGTGACCCCACGGGAAATCCGTGCGGTATCATGCATGATTGCCGCTCGGTCACAGATCACCCAGGTGTGAACCTTGCGACAATTTTGGTGGCTTTAATTTTATTCCTATAGTAAAATTGTTCCCAAAAATGTTACTGATTCTTGTAACCGATAATAAAGATAGGTATGAGTGTACTGCCATTGATGATGATGACTCCCTTTAATGATTTTAAAATGTATCTAAAGTCAAACGTTGTATTTCTCTTAGTAGAGAAAGGAGAAAACCCCTGTTAGGATTTTATTGCTGTGTCCCCTCTGGGTAAGGTCACTCTCTTTATATATCCTGGTTACCCTTGTCACAGGGCATAAAGGGTTTCATTTATAAAACTTTTGCCCGGCATATAGCCAGGTGGATGTCTTTCACACATCTCTAGTGCCCCTAAATGGTGCTGACAAGTATAGGAAATACCCAGAGTGATGAAAAAGCCAAATTGTTGTCACCAGAACAGGAATAGAGGGAACATTTCCAATGCCATCACTTGTTTCAGTGACAACTGCCTAAGAAAGGATTTCCCTTGACTCTGGAGAGATTTCCCCTCAATTCCAGTTGTGTCTACAGGACAGGAGATGAAGGGAAATCTCCCCAATGGGACACACATTTCCTGACAAGTGTTTTAATTAAGGATGCACCAATGCCAGTTTTTCGGTATTGATTACCAGTACCGATATTTTTTTTACATAGTAGTCGATACCAAATCCTGGTGCTGTGTGCCACGATTATCAGGAAGCCGGACAGCGCATCATGACCCGCGCCCGGCTTCCTGATTGCCTGGGATGCCGGTGTTCTATTGAAAGAACACCGGCTTCACTTCCCAAGGCTGCTTGGCTTCCTGACCAATCAGGAGGCCGGGTGGCGGGTCATGAGGTGCCGTCCGGCTTCCTGATTGGTCAGGAAGCCAGGCTGCCTCGCAGCAAGTGAAGCCGGCTCCCTAGCCGATCAGGTGTAACAGGCTTACCTGTCCGCGCTCCGGGATTAGCGTCCGATGACACTTACTCCCACGGCGTCTGTCTGCTCCTCCTCCCTCTACCTGCCTGCCAGGTTTAAAGCCATGGTATTTGAAATGCTCAGGTTGATCCCTCGCCATGCTGGAACTGTGGTATTTACTCTTGCCATCCTGGACTTGCTAGTTGTCTGAGACTAAACCTCTCTGCTGGACTCGTGACACCAATCAACTTAACCCTTGCCATCCTGAACCCTTGTCAGCCGAATGCTCAATCCCTGATACTGGACTCATTGATTCTATCAACGCAGCTAACCGCAAGCATAACCTCATGTAAAAGTCCTATGTTCTGTTGCAATATGATCACATATAACGTTGTGCTCCACCAATCTTGAGAACTAATTGTCCTGTATGATGTAATACAGATTTAACCATGTAAGAGCTATCAGAGTTAACCCTCTCCTGTGAGGGGTAGGAAGTAATACAACTCACTGCTCTTATTTATGGACTATTGCTTAGTTAAATGTTGAATGAATACTGTATGGAGTAATACAGACTAGGGATGAGCCGAGTGTTCGATTCGAACATGCGTTCGAATCGAATATCGGCAGTTCGAGCGCTCGCTGAACGACTAACTTTATGGGATGTTCGTGGTTTGTTCGACCGCGGACATTCCATAATGCAAAATGACCACTGAAGCTCTGATTTGTTAAAGTCTTGCACCTGACCACACAGACATCATACTTACTGTGCCTGTTGCACCTTAAGCGAACTTCCACTGAATTTAGGATCACTGAGTTAAATAATCCCACCTCCAAGAGTATTACATCAGGAAGCTGAGTGGCGCATCATGACCCGCCTCTTAGCTTCCTGATTGGCTAGGAAGTTGGCTTCACTTGTTGCTAGGCAGCCCGGCTTCCTGACTAATCGGAAAGCGGGGACATGACATGTCACCCGGCTTCCTGATTGGTTAGGAAGCCAGGCTGCCTAGCAACAAGTGAAGTCGGCTTCCTAGCATATCAGGAAGCTGGGAGATGGGTCATGATGTGCCGCCTGGCTTTGTGATGTAACGCATAGATCCGCTATCAGAGATAAGTATCAGAGCATCCCTAGTTTTAACCCTTCCTTTTCCAAAATAAAAAAAAGTCTTGGCTTTAGATATATTTTGTTGTAACTGATAACGATGATTTCTCATTTATGTTGATTTTCCTATAATCAATGATGATAACAATATTCTTGCTGAATTTGCCACAATTAATAAAGATGACATAATTTACTGTATTGTTATGGTAATTTATCATTTTTTTCTTTTTCAGTGAACTTAGACAGGCTTAATGATGACGTCAAACGATACAGCTGCACCCCGAGAAATTTCACAGTAAACTTACGGGAAGAGCTGAAGATTACCAGCGCTGTGTTTTTTCCACGATGCCTCCTTGTTAAACGCTGTGGAGGAAACTGCGGTTGCGGAACTCCGTATACCAAATCTTGCACGTGCACCTCTGGAAAAACTGTGAAGAAATACCATGAGGTAATGTCTTAAAATGTGTAATGAATGTACAAACCGGCTGCACAGCATACAGCGGTGTGACCAGTAGTATTGGCATGGTGATCGTAGTGACTGAAGCAGATGGCGCCATGCAATACTTCAGGTGTCTGAAGATACATCACCAGGACTCAGCAATTCAATGTACAAACATAGGTTTTTTTTATTGCAAAGGGACCCTACAAAATGTAGTTTTATTGAACTAGGAGATGTATTTAAAATATAACAAACTATGTTTGCACTTTGAATTTTGAATTGCCGAGTTCTGGTGACTTATCTTCAAATATTTAAAGCAGTATTAAACTCTTAAATGTATTTGTCAATGATGAATCAAGATCAAAAAAATATACATCGGCCAGCAAAGTATATGTTTACATTTTTCCCAAGCACTTACAGTCACCATGTTTGAAAACAGCTGGCTCCAACTCTCTCAGCTTGACTTACCTGAACTTCCTATGTAGATCACAAGGGACAGATGCGTTTCCAGCAGCTGTCCATCTACTAGCTTGGAAGAGAAGGGAGAAAGAAGGAAAAGGGAGGAGAGGGGAGCGGCTTACCTTATGTGTTTGTAGAGACGCTGCCAAATTACTATTACTAGGGATGCACCGATACCGATACTAATATTCGTACTCACCCAAATGCTCCGATACCTTCCCCGATACCAGGAGTTCCGGTCAGAGGAAGATTTCCTCTGACAGGCAGTGCCATGAGGGAAGGTAGAGCCGTCTTCCTGGGCAATCAGGAAGGCGGGTGGCGAGTAATGACCTCCCAGCTTCCTAATTGGCCCAGAAGCCGTCTCCATGATGATTGGCTGGGAAGCCGGCTTCCTGGCCAATCAGCAACAAGCCGGCTGAACAGCTGGCTCCTTGCTGATTTGCTGGGAAGCTGGCTCCATGCCAGCGGAAGCACCGGTCTCGGTACTTCGTATCGGCGAGTACTGAAAATCAAAATATCAGTACTCGTGCTCGATACCGAAAACAGGTATTGGTGCATCCTTAACTATTACACACAGGGGTGGCTCTGTAGGAACCTGCAAAGGAGACACCCTAAAAACATGATTTCAGAGCCAGTGCTCAGAGGAGCATCTGATTCTGCAGGAAAGTAAAACTTAAACCTCAAGAGGCAGCATCCATTGTAAGTGATTTCATCAGCATTTGAAATAGCTTAAAAACATTTTAACGTTAATATCACTTTAAAACGTGTAATGCCTGCCATGTTAAAGTGACCCTCTCCCTTATATAAAAATATTTCGCCTGCAGCAGTGAAAGAAGAAGCTGCATACTTATCTCTTTGTTGAACAGCGAGACAATTCTATGTTTTCTTCCACGGTTATTGGTACAGCTGCTATCCGGAACATCCAGATGACTAATAGTGACCAACAGAGGACATCTAAAAAATGTTGAAAAGCAGCTGAGCTAGGCACTGTGGAAGTAAGCATTGACTTTACTCACAGCTCGCTGAAGAAAGAAATGTGCAGCTTTTTTTCTTCATTGGATGGATAGGAATTTCACAGAAATAACTGTTAACATATTTGAGGCCTTTTTGTTCATTTTGGCACATTTTCTGTAAAACCAAATCACTACATTTCTCTTGTTCTTCTTCGGGGGTTGCAGGGCTTTTCTCTAACTGTCATAGCTCCTGCGCACCCCAGAGAGTTACTGAAACAATGTATTATGGGGCTTGATAATAAATGGCATAGACTCAAAGCTTTCAGGAAAGGCAGAGACAGCATGACAAGTATTTTACATTAAAGTGGATTTGAAACTTATAGGAAAGGGATTATGGAAAAGAAGGTTAAAGGTGGAGTAAACCAAGAAGTGGTTTTGTATTTGGATGCAGAAATTCCCTCATTTTCTTTTTTTTTTTCTTCTTCATTTTAACACAGAATGCAATTTATGTTCAGTATAATTTCAGGAAATTCAAGTCAAAACTATTATATAGAGCAGAAAATCTTTGAATATCAGCTCTGTGATCAACCAGTCAAGCTGTCCAATTTCTTACCTTGTTCAAACAGTCCTCTGCTGTCTTGTCTGGGAAAAGTGTTTGCCAATTAATTTTTCCTCCTCTTATCAGCAAAGCCCATATACCATGCTCATGTTTTTTAATATAAAACACTGGGAAAATCCCAGAGCTGTCAGAGGGCTTGTTAACTTAAACGCTGCCCAAATCTCTCCTCTCATCCAAGACGTTTACTCTTCCTAGAAGAAATAAGAATTTTATGTTTTTAAGCAAAGTTCCCACTAGTGTCAGTTATTTCATTTTGCCCCGGATTTAATAAAATACGATTTAAGATCGTTGTGTGCTTATTGCTTAAATGCAAAAGTGCCTGAGGCGTCTGTCAATTGAAGAGGAAAAATAATTCCACGTTTTAAAAATCCTTTACTTAACTTGCATATCTGTAATGTGCATGTAAGTGTGTGTGTGTGTGTGTGTGTGTGTGTGTGTGTCTGTATAAAATAAACCTGCTTTCAAAAATGGTGAAAGGAATAGTTTTTATTTAACAACCTACAAAGTGCAAAAACCTAAATCAATATTTCTTATGTCCACCCTTTGCCTTTAAAACAGCATCAATTTCCCCAGGTACTGTTCATTTGCATGCAGTTAATGATTTTGCAGCTATATGGTCCAGTGCATAAATAAACAATTATACCAAACAAGTGCTAATGATTAACAAAATAAAATGTAGGTTAAAGTACAATCAATTAAATCAAACCAAGTCAGCTGTGTTTGAAGAATGAAACTGGGCAAGAAAAAGCCATGCTCTACTAATACATTGAGGTTGTTACATTACATTTGAGTGTAAAAAATCGTATTCAATGGCAAAACTTTGGACAAAGCAACAAGACACAGGGTGGTCTTTCTACATCACCAAGGTCCAGTGGCATCATCAGCTCAGATTTTTCAGAAGCCATTGGGACCCTAGTACCTCCATCTACAGTCCAGAGAAGTCTGGTCAGAAATGGTCATCATGAAAGACTTGCGGCTGAAAAAGCCATACTTCCAATGTGAAAACAAAGGACAAAGCCAGGCCAAGCCATGCCCACAAACACAATAATTGGTGTGCAGAAATTGGACCAGGTGTTATGGAGTGATAATTGCAAATAAGATAAAATGATACCACTATAGTGTGTAACAATTACACATCAACCGATATGGTTGATAACCTATAAGCATATATGTAAGAATACCACCTCTATGTGGAGCAATGAGGTGGAAAAAGAAGTTATACTCCAACCAAAATTACAAAATTACCGTGACAAGAACCTTATATTAAAATTGGCAACGTTGTCAATGTTTGTTTGAAGGCCTGGAAAGTGGCAGAAGGACATGCATCAGCAAGCAACAGGAAAGCATGGTGAAGGTTCCTTGATTCGGGCTGCAAATTTGAAAATGTCAGAATTAATGGTCTCCTCAGTGCTAAAAAGTACAAGCAGATATTTATCAAGTGTGCAATTCCATCAGAAAGGCATCTGTGGATGTAATTCTATGTATCGAGAAGAGGCGATGGTATAGTTGAAAAGATTAACAATTGCTTTATTCGTGCACGGGAAACTTAATACAGACAGTGGTGAGCTTAGGACTGTCCCTTACTCAGTCTAGTAAAAGTCTCTACCCCTCCCCCCTGTATTGGTCTTTTATCCTGTTTCATAGAACTTCCTCATCTCTATCCTGGGGCGGGGAGGATTCTCTGATGCTATTTCCCATGTACGTGTGCTTGATTAGTATGCAGGAAGCTGTAACTTTTGCGGTTAGGCCGGTCTTGCAATTTCGATAACTTGGTTCACTCGAGAAAACACACACGTTAGTTATATACAGGTTTAAACATATTAATTAGTTCAAACAGCATAGATTACTTCCACACATCTGACCAGCCCCAAATTTATTCCACAGCAGGACAATAACACCAAACATACAGCCAAAGTCATTAAGAACTATCTTCAGCTAAAAGAAGAACAATGAGGCCTGGAAGAGAAGGTATGGCCATTGAGTGTCTCTGGAATTACATGAAGAGAAGCAACTGAGACAGCCTATATCCACAGAAGAATTGTAGTTAGTGCTAGATGTTTGGAACATCTAGCACTGTTGTTTTCCTTTAAAAACTGTGGGGGCAAGTGTACCTAGGAGAATTGATTTTTTTTTTAAAAGAGAAAAGGTGAACACACCAAATATTAATTTAATTTAGTTTTATTCTGTTTATGTTCCTGTAGGTTGTTAATTGGTGAAGAAAAAAATATTTATTGCATTATTATTTAAAGCATTTTTACTTTACAGCATTTTTTCACAGACACACACAGGTGTGTGTGTGTGTGTGTGTGTGTGTGTGTGTGTGTGTGTGTGTGTGTATATA